CACTGATACTGCTCCTCATGGCCCTGACAGCAAAAGTGAAATTAACAAATTCTTACATATTTTGCTGCATCCTAATTAAATGCATTTTCTCTGTCGTTTGTTTTTTCTTCTCTAAGGAGCACTATGGGATTATAATGCAAAATAAAACCAAAGACCATTTTCACTTCCGAGCCAGAGGTTAAGAATGAAAAACTGAGACACCTTTCTGGATAGGTATCCACATGCACATGCAAATACAAATGGTTAATTTTTAATCCTAAAAATTACGAATAAGAGATAAAAGAATCCCAATCTGCTACAACAAAGCTTACAAAGAACAGAAGATAAATGAAGTATCAGATAAAACCAAAAGTTAAAAAGCTTTGAAGGTATCAGTAGCAGAGTCCTTTAAAACAGCAGAGGATGTGAAAGCAAGTTGCACTTTCCTATCACTATTTTCCACCACTGTTAAACTATTGGCAAGAAAGAAAACAGACAGAGGATTTCTCATTTTCTCAGCAATGAGAGACAGAAAATAAAACCCTGCAGATGTTACAGGTGCTTCAGCAAAGGCAGGATTTCAGAAATCTGTTTTGCCCTGGAGTAGCTTACATGCCCTTCTGCTGTTCCTCATATACAACTGCTATTATCATTACTTGCACTAATCAAAGCCCTGGCTCCTCATTTCACAGAGCATCCTTCTCACCACTCTACTCAACTATTCAGCATCAATTTCTATTTAGCACCTTTATGAGGCACACCAGTTAGGCTTTTTCTTTTAAGCATCAACTGGCATTCTTTCATAAAAAAGCTGCCATATAAATACAGCCCTCTAAAACAGAGTAACTGATTTACGCTGTACTTTTGTGTATCCATACTCCAATGTGTGTAATGAACATGAGTTATTTCCAAGAGGATATTTCTGAAACCACAGCTAACCAAACTGCTCCCTGCCACCACTGCAAACCTGCTGTCTGAAGAAACATCATGGCCATGGTGAGCAATGGACAGCTCAGTTAAGTAGAGAACACAGACAACTGCACCAGCAGTAAATGATCAGTGGCAGTTACATCCCTACCACTGACAGATTTCAGAAGATTAGTTAGCTCAAACGTAACAGTGAAGATTTTATGAACCATTTCCTTTCATCTTACATAGCTCTCAAAACTGTCCTGCACACCAAATGCTCACTGCGACCCCACTTTACGATGACCTATGTATGGATAGCCATTCTCATCGTTAAAAACACCTGAAGCCCAGTCTAGTAATTCTGGGCAAGTTTTACTTCTGGCTCTTCTTCCTAGAAGACAAGTGGATTTACAACAGAAAAGACACAGGAATCCACATCACTCTTTATGCAAACTAAAGTCACTTCCTTAATCTTTCAGTGCATTATGTGCACCCCACCTTCAAACACTTTAAGATGGAGCACATTCCATGTCTCCACAATGATACTTATTTCACCGTTCAGTTCAGTTGCATATAAAAAGATCAATACCCAAATGCACAGAGATTTCTTGTTCCTGGTATGAGCTTCAAGAAGCTATGTCTTTTTTTTTTTTTAATATATGGCTGACCTTTTTACAGTTGCCTCTTGGATATCAGTAATACATTGTGCTGCCTTAAAACTAGAAAGATAACTGTCCAAGGTAAGCATCAGGTGTTTTTCTTCTAAGTACAGAGAAAACAAAAAGACAGCAAGGGTAGCATCACCAACAGGCAGGCTTTAAGCTAGTTCACTAAGACATGTGAGAAACATCAAATAAATGGAATGCTGCATTTAATCGAACTAGATCAGTGAATTATTACTGCAGTTTTAAGGGAAATAAGCATCTAAGCTGATAATGTTCTTTAAAAGCTTTTAGCTTTTAGACAGCTATACAACAAATACTATGTTTTAGTTACTTACATTTGCAACTAAACCACTATTATCCCACTGCTGGAACTTGACAGTACGTGTGCTTGCCTCTAGTTCATTCAAGTTCCTTCTAACAAAATCCATTGCATGGAATGTGTAAAGAACTTTAAACGTTTAAATAATTTTCTTCTGTCAAGACTTGTTCTTGACTTTGATGCTCTGCTTTTAAGAAAAAGCTCGGGGTCTGAAGTGAGACCTGGAGGAACATGATTCTGCAGGAGCTAAGCTTCAAGGATGTCAACTATAGCAAATGATAAACCGTGCAGTGAAACACTGACAATTAACAGCATACAAAGTCAGCTGTGAAATATTTTATCTTTCTGTTTCACTGCTAGGCATTTTGAATCCAAGGTAAAATATCAACCACTACATGAAAACATGTAATGCCACGTGCAGGGTTGCCACCCAGTAGATCAAGCTGCCAACAGCCCCATCCAACCTGACCCTGAACCCTCCAGACATGGGATATAATAGCTAATTTTACATTCACAGTGAGGTACAGCACTGACAATGCCAAGTATCAACACGATGCAGAACCTGCAGCAGCAGGCATTACATCCAGTACTCAAGAGTACAAGGGGAAACTTGAGATATTTCTTTCTAATCAAATTAGTGACCTATGTTAATCACTTCCACTGTGACTCTCCTATAGGACAGCTATGAGCTCTTTCAGTTCACAAACATTTTGAGTAATTTACACTACCTAGGTGGACAGCTGCTTTCATTTTAGCTTCATGGCAGAATCCAAACACAACTCCTTCCCTAAGAAAAAAAAAAAGCACAAACAAACAATAGAAGTACCCAGTCTGCATATTTAAGTGTTTGAATGTATTTGGAACGTTCTTTCTAAAGTGTCATTAAGATTTCACCAGTAAGTTACATAAACTGCATAAACTATTGTAAAATTGTAAATTGAATGCAAGCTGCATAAGACAAAGCAGTTAAAAGTTTTTCTTCTATGAATTTAGTCTACTGGATCTGATGCTATATTTAATTTACATCTATTTTAAAGCAAACATCTCTAGAAGAAAAAACTCCAACATTATATCTGAAGTATAGCTTCATCTTTGAGCATAATATAAACCAAAAGAAAAAGGAATTTTGGAAGCAAAGTACAAATATTCTGTAACTTACTCAAAAGTATTCAGGTATAGCATAGACCATAAGCTATGGACACATCCACTTCAGCTATTTCCCTGTGTCATTTCACATTTCTAAAACGCTGAGTACGTATAGGTCAGTTAGACCAGAAATAACTATAGAAAATTAAGTTAAAATCAAGTGCTGCAGTGGATACGGAGGTGTTAGAGTATCTAGCAACTATACTCAGGACTTCACAAACACAGCAACTTGTGTATCACTTACTTCCAGGGTGAGGGGTTTGGTTACAGCATCTTCAAAACTTTCCTATCAGTGTAGACCAGTATTCAAATACAGAGACAGCCGTTAAACCAAAACAGAGAGAAGTCATAAAAACAAATCTATTCATAGATGCTATCAACTATAGGAGAAAATGTGGTTCATCTTCTGCATCTCTTTTTCCAAGAACACAAACTCCAGTCTTTTTCGAGCATTTAAAAGATGGGCACACTCTGAAGCTTTCCTCTTCCTTACCCTAAGTCTGCAGAGTTCATCTGTTATTTTGACAGTATTTATATCTGCGTGCTCAGCAAGTCATCCAGAAGTTGTTTCTGAATACAGAAGCAAAAACAATTGCTCATGCTGGGAGGTATACACAAGAGAAAGGTTCTAAACTGCTTATGTTCTTCTGTTGTTGCGACTAGACTTTTCCCTACTTAAGAATACGGTATGTAAGCAAAGTAAAAAGTAGAACAGAAATGTTTTTAGTATTTTCTCTTTCTGCTTACAACATGATTTTTCCGCTCGAGAATTCAAATTGTGTTACATGCAAAACTTAGAACTATACATCAATTAGGCCAAGTCAGTTCCTACTGAGTTCTCAAGAAGCGCCACTTAAAAAACACTTTTAAAATTTTATTTTGGCTTGTAGATACAACATGGTTAGCACACTGTTCCACTAAAAAAATAAAACTGCCATTTAATAAAATTTAATAAAAGAAAACTTTTAAATTATTAAAACCTTGCCACTTCTATGTTGGAGAAAGAAACCCGGAGCTCCAACTCCAAGCAGCCTACAGAAGTATGCATTGTAACCAGAGCTGATACTTTCTACATTTAATAAAAGTCGAGTTTTCTAAGGCACAGAACTTCCCATGGAGAAAATAGGTAATTATTTTCCTTATTCTCACCTGAGCTCTCAAATATAAACTCTGGCAATGAAGAGGAACAAAGCAGAGCTATCCTAAGAGCTATCCTGAAATAAGATGAAGTACTGGTGAAAAAAAAAAAAAAAAGGAAGAAAGAAGCTACGTATCCTATCAATAACTGATCTTTGTGAGCAGTGTTTGCAAATCTTCTGTATCATTCTCAACAGAGTTTTTAGTGTGGTTCCATATAACACGTATGGAATGTGTGCTTTCATTCTATCCTCTCTAAATGAGCTATTTTCGGTCACGGAGGTGAGCCTCCAGGCCCTCGTATTCCCACCCCCCGATCCACAAGCAGCTCAGGGAGGTGCCGAGATGTACGCTGGCGGGGTGCGGGCAGACGATTAAACAAGAAAAGTGGGAAGGGGTGCCGGAAAAGGCGAGCGGATCGGAGAATGGAGCAGACCTAGCCAGGAAATGCCCCGCTCTCCCGAGCTCCCTGCGTGAAGTTGGCCGGGCACCGCTCTTCCCTCCAGTCAGGAGCACGGAAGAGGCCCGCTGCCCCCAGCCTCCCCCACCGCCCTCCTCGCGCCGTCTCCCGCAGCCCTTCGGTGGAAGTCGCCTGGGCTCGGGGAGCTTCTCCCGCCGCCCCCCCCCCCCGCCCTGCTGACAGCGGCCCCCGCCGCACCCCGGTGACCTTCCCGGGGGAGGCCGCTCCCCGCTCCCGCCGGCCGGGGCTGCCCGGCCGCGGCCCCCCGGTTCCGCCCCCTCCCCGCGGCGAGGCGCGCGCAGCGGGAGGGGGCAGGGAAGGCGCCGGGCCCCAGGGCCCCGCCCGCTCCCCGACCCCGGGGGAAGGCGCGGGAGGGGGCACGCACCTCGCTGTTAAAGGCCTTCACGGCCTCCATGTCGCGGCCGAGGCGGGGGCCGGGCGGCTTCTCTCCGCTGATGGCGGCCGGGCCGGGGCTCGGCTCGCTCTGTGCGTGCGCGCCGCGCTCAGGAGCCGCCGGGCCTCCTCGCCATGGCGGGTGGCGCAGGGGGCGGGCGCGGAGGGACGCGGGCCCCGCTCGTTTCCGTCTCCTCCCGGCGGCGCGCGGTCTCCTCGCCCCCGCTTCCCGCCCGGCGGCGCCGACGTCCCCTCCCCCGTCGGGCTCCGCTGGGCCGCGCCGGGAGGAGATGGAGGAACAAGGCGCAGCGGCTGCGGCGCGGGCACCAATATGGCGGACACGCGGGGGCTCCTCGCAGCGCAGCTCCGAGAGGAGCCGAGAGCGGCGCAGGCGGCTACAGCGCCACCTGCCGGGCAGCGCCCGCGCCGCAGAAGCTCTGCCGAAAGGGGCGCGCCCCTCTCTGTCTCTCAGCTGGGCTCCGCCCCGAGCGCTACGGCCGGGCCCGGGAGGGAGAGCGGTACGGAGGGTGCGTGGAGCAGATGTGCTGCGTGCCTCGAATGCTTGTGAGGGGTCGAGCTGCGACAAGGAAAGGAGCGACAGAGCGTAGGAGCGCGCGAAATAGATCACAGAAGACGACACAAGTAGTTACCGAGGATTACTATTCACGGAGAGCAAAGCCGGAAAAACAAAGCTGCGTTTACAACTTGGTAAGGCAGCACTGTAGCAGCCCCGTCCGGCGAGGAGTGGCCATTTTATTACCCGGGGTGTATTTCCCGCTGAACTCCCACCAGCAGCCCTGTCACGCAGCTGCAGTCCCTGGCAGAAAAGCCTCCTGCAGGACTTACCTGTCTCCTGGCGCTGACCCTGTCACAAGTGCTCAGGCTGGTGTCACAGATGCACCTTCAGCTGGAATTTCTCCAGAGCTCTATGCTGTTCTTTAGACCCTACACACACAGCAGTTCAGATCAGGTATGTTTTCTTTATCTCCCCCTCAAAACCCACACCAGCTCCCCTCAGATGAAACCCCCCACAGTTCTCCGTGCTCCATTAGTTAACATCTCACCCAAAGGCATCCAGCTCTTCACTTGACAAACAGCACAGCTGAGAAGTTAAACCACACATGGAATCATACAGTTGCATTATCACAGGAGCTCCCACAAAGAATAAATCGCATTACAGAGTTGTAGGTTTTTCTTCTACAACAGGTTCAATCAGGGAAAAAGCCCATCTCCAGCAGCCAATATAGTCGCAAGAACAGCCACAGACATAATCAAGGGACCAGAGCAAATGCTCTGTTTGGAGATGATGGGAGAATTTCAGTTCAGTGTAGAGAAGAGATGAGCTTGAAGTAGGGAGGTCACCCAATAACAGCCAGCACCTACAAAGTGAAGTGACTGAACAAAACGCCTAAGTATTTTTGATCATTTTGAAATAATATCCAGTAATCTCTTGACCTGCTTTGTATCTTTTTTGGTCAGAGACACATCAAGTCAAGAGACGGTCTTAAGGCAGAACAGGTTCTGACTCAACAGTAGGAAAATCTTTTCCATCATGAAGATAGACAAACAGTAAAATAGGTCCCCTAGAGAAATGTCATGGTGTCCATCCCTTTTCAAGGTCAAAGAGGGTCAAGTTCTGGCTAATCCACTCAGAACTCACAGTTGAGCTTACTTGGAGCCACAGATTGGGGTAGGGAGCTTCTGAGGTTCCTTCTAAGCCAAATAACACTGGCAGTCTTCTACCAGAAGGACAGTGCTGCCCTTCCCTTCACAAATGTTTTAAGAGAAACACATTGTGCTTCCCAGGTTGTACATGGCCTTTGCTTCCCCTTTGATCTTTTCCCATGGGAATTGAAAGTAAAATGTAAAGAGACAACTGTTCAAATTATTGTAGAGCAAGGGGTTTATCATATTACAAAAACAAGTAAAACTTTGTGCTCCTTTGGAAAACTTACTCAAATATTTTAGGTATGAACTATCCTCTAGAATCTGGTAGCTTTCCTTTTGGGTGAAATTGAAGCAGGTCTGGTTTTGCCCATGAAAATATATGGAATACTACATTGGACAGGAAAAAAAACTTCAAAAACTATTTTGAAATTGACTTCAAAGTGGTCACAAGCTTCCATGTGACTGCTTTTACAGAGCATTTATTCCAGTAGCATAAGCTCTTCCAGAGAAGGAAAGGGAAGAGTGAATAAAGAAGTAAACAGAGAAGGAAGGGTAAGATTCACACTTAGATGTATGCACAAAGCCTTGACCTCTGAAATGCAGAATTGACCTCTGAATTTGCAGTGAGTTAGCTATCATCCAAGAGTGAGAAAGCAGTTAACTGAATGAATACTATGCCTCTGATCGTAACACTAGATATTCTAGATTGAGTAAGCATACAGCTGAAGTAATACTAAAACAGCGCAGAAAAATGGTTTATTCTGAGACAGGGCTGCCTTACCCCATGACACCACCTAATTCAATAACCTATGGTATTATTCATAACAACGTCATCAGGAGGTTTCTTACCTTGTTCTGGAACAGAATGACTGACAGCTTACTGTTCAATGCAAGAAATGTTCAATTCTGGTGCTCTGTAAGACTAATGAAAGTCATAGCAGAAACTTTCAGTTTTGCAAATAAGTTTACTCTTGCTTTCCAAAATATAAAGGACTTATAAATGAGACTTGCAATAATGGATTGTGGTTTCTGTTTGGATTCAAATACAACTTTACAATTGTGAGAGAAAAACAAGAATGAAGATATCTTAGATCTCACATGTAGTGAGTTCTCCATAAAAAGGTAAAAGTATCCCCTCCTTTTTCCTACTTCTGACAAGTCTAAATAGAGATTCAACAGAATGTGCAAGTGTCATACCAACAAATACTCATAGGAGGCACCCACCATGCACAAGATCAGTTCCCTGAGCTTTTCTCTCATCTTTTAGAATAATTAAAAAAAAAAAAAAAAAAAAAAAAAAAAAAACATGTCAGGAGAGAGAGCTGCTGTTCAGGTAGGCATAGAGGAGAACAGATCTGTAATAGCCACTTGCAGCTAAAGGTAAAGGTAAGAAAATAGTAGTAAGTTTCTTTGCAGTAAACTCTTGCCACACACTTTTTTTTTTTTTGAAGACATCTACAAATTAAAGCCAAATAATTCAGCATGTACATTGCTAGTCTCTAATTTTTCAGTGTGCTTTCAGTCAAAGAAATTTTGACTGAATTTTAGTACATTCTTCCTCTTTATCAGTTTTCACAAACTACCTCATCATCTTTCATTTGTATTTTTAGTTGCCATTCCATTATTACAACCATTTTAAAAGTTCAAAATTTGTGACTAGAGATACTGAAACATTTTCCACTGAACTTATCCTGAATGTTGGACGTTTTCTCACAGGGAGCTGTTCCCCCCCAGTCCCCAAGTGTGCATGCATTTCAAACATCATAAAAGGAACTCTGAACCACTGTATTAGTAACTATTTGTAATCACAATAGCCTAATTATTGAAAATTGCAGTCAGTTTACTAACCAGTTCCCCAGTTCCTCATGATTGAGTTTACCTTACTCTGAGTTGTGCTCATCCCGGCTTGATGGTGTCAGGCTTTAGTCATTACACCACAGAAATCACTTGGAAGCGTGTTTTTTCTTTTTTAAACAATGAAACATGATGTTTGAAAGACAGCTTAGGTTTAAATTTGGAGGCCAGCTTGAATGCTCAGAGGTACCCCCTGGATCTACATGAATTTCAAATGAAGCTGATTTCTTTTTTTTCTTCAGAAAAAAAGAAAAAGATTTATAAATTACCTTTAGCAAATTTGATTTGCTTGTGGGTTTGGATAACCTGATATGTAACAGTGTTGGCCACGCAGGTCACACCTACAGCAGAATTTCCAACATTTTTAACCATCTCAGACAGCATTTCCTGTTGGTTTCTTACTCTGTACAGGGTTCTAATCCTGAAGTTTCAACTTCATGCTGTACTGGTTTTTGATTACAGCATACAGTCACAGGGTAAAGCGATCACTATTTCTTACAGCTACATAACGAACATTCAGTTCTGCTTCTAATGAGGTAATTATTTTAAAGAAAAGGTCAGGCAATGGTTTTGTAGTAGCAACCATGGCATGCTTATCTCACTGTAATGAAGCAGAACTACAAAGGTGGAACATAAAACATCCTCATGATTCTCACTTGTAAACACTGTAAAGATGTAAAAGTGGTCTAGTTTCTCTGGCCAACCTGAGCTACAAGCATATAAATTTTTAGAATCTTGAAATGAAAACCTATTATAAGCAGTACAAAGAATACGCACCAAAATCTTGAAGAATTCAGTTCTGGTAGCTCTGAAGTAGCTCTTTTCATAGACCAACAAGCCAAACTAGAATGAAAATGCCCCGAGTGAGAATACAAAAGATGACAGACAATACTTTTAAATCTTAAAGAAAAAAGTGTTCATCTGCTAGCTCAAGCTCCTTTTGAGACACAGGCTGACAACCAGGAGCACCAGTCCTTGATCAATAATTCAGATTATTTTTTCACATTACTTTTTCTCTCCTCCCCAAATCTCTATCTTGCATTAACACTGCAAAAGCAGAATTATTTGTCATTCTGATGAGAATCACATTTGGTTTTATGGCATGTAACAGAAGTGAGCACAATACAGTAAGAGCCATTTACATAATTTCTCTTCACTATCTCAAGCAAATGTAGGAAAATGGCTTATATTTTGCCTTTTTTTTTTTTTAAAGATTCATTTCAAGCTTAACAAGTGAGACTTAGAGTACCACATTTAGTGTCTTTATAAAAACCTAGGGAAATTAAATCAAATTTTCAACAAGCATTTAAGATAATTTTTCTATCAAAAACAGTACAAAACAGCTCACTTAAAACTTAGTATACAGATTTTCTAGACATAGGTCACTGCCACAGGTATATATAGAACTCACATATTTCTCCAATGTGCGGTCTAGGCTGTCATCACACATCTGTGTTCTGCTAGCTATCAGAAGATCAGAATATGTAGAAGACCAGAAATGAAGGAATAGCCAAGGTTTATTCTATATTGATTAAATTGGTTTGCAGTGCCTCATCAACTACTGACCAGATGTTCTAATGCTTGAAGAAGAAAGCTTCTAGGACTTGAAGAAAACATTCTCATCACAGGGACAATTTCCTCATCATTTTCAGCAGTTAAGCCCAATTTTCTCATTTCAGAGCTTCTTCTCTGCAAGTCATGACCTCATTACAGTCATATTAACTGCACTTTTTTTCCCCTAAAGAGATGAGTTCTCATATCTTCCTTTACTTTTAGGTGAACAGTAATTCCAGTTAGAAAGTGAAGTAAAAGATTTCCTATCACTTGGTGATAGGAGCTCACCTCATTAGCAGTTCACACAGCAAAAGAGAGGACAGAAATCTATGGTGGCATAGATTGTACTTTTAGATCTTACCATACAACACCAGGAATATGCTTCAAGCATGTGCTTACTGGTTTTCACCGTTAGCTTAACCATTCGTACAAATGGTAAATCAGAACCAAAAGGCATGGCAGCATGTACTGGAGCCCTCAGTACAAGAAAGACAGATTTTGGACAGGGTCCAGAGGAGTGCGACTAAGATGATCAGGGGGCTGGAGCACCTCCCCTATGAGGACAGGCTGAGGGAGTTGGGCTTGTTCAGCCTGGAGAAGAGAAGGCTGCGGGGTGACCTCATTGCAGCCTATCAATACCTGAAGGGAACCTACACCCAGGAGGGGAGTAAACTCTTCAAAAGGGCTGATAACAGCAGGACTAGGGGAAATGGTTTTAAGTTGAAGGAGGGAAGATTTAGGTTGGATGTTAGGGGGAAGTTCTTTACTAGGAGAGTGGTTAGGCCCTGGAACGGGCTGCCCAGGGAGGTTGTGGATGCCCCGTCCTTGGACGTGTTCAAGGCCAGGTTGGACGGGGTCCTGGGCAACCTGATCTGAATGTGTATGTTTGGTGGCCCTGCTAGGCAGGGGGGTTGGAACTACATGATCCTTGGGGTCCCTTCCAACCCGGGTGATTCTGTGATTCTCCTTATCTTCATTCTACAAGAAAGGAACTTAACTTTCCAAAGTCACAAAGACCATGCAATTTCTTTTTATGTACAGAAGATATTGCAAGAACTACAGAACTTTCTGGCAATCATGGTAACCTCCTCTTTGGAGAAAATTTAGGCAGAAGAGAGCAATCAGTCCCTGATGTGATAGGAGATGCTAGCATAGCAAAAATGAAACTTGATGAAAAGAAATACAGGCATTCAGCATGTGCAGAATCCTATGCCCACTAAGGCCAAGTTGTTGGTAATGTCTAGACATAGTCTAAATCCTTCATCGACCCAAAAAGTTCAGGAGTCTGCAAATGCATACTCCTTGCACACCTTTATCTCTTCACTAATGCAAGACTTTTGCAGAAATTATTTGGAAACTCCACCCAGGGAGAAAAATTATCATTACTTGATTATAATTACTTCTAACACTCCAAACATGATGCTTATTTGACTCATTATTTATATATTATAGTTATACCTCTTCACTGTGAGGAATAATGAAAAACCAGGCAGACCAGCATACAAGTACCTTAGGGCTTTGCAAAACACCACCTAAACTGTAGCACAGGCAGCATTGAGCAGAGCTACTAAATTCAGCTGGACTGAGCTGACACATACAGTGACTTACTTGGCTCCGACAGCACTTGCAGTTTTTCCAGGAGGTATTAACCTGTCCCACAAAGCTGAACTGCACAGCTTTCCAGGTCAATGCAAAATTCAGCTCAGGATGATAGAGTTGGAATTTGGCTGGCTTGGGTCCTGCAGAGCTTAGCAGTAATGTTTGTGACCGCCTTCAAATTTGTCAAGAAGAAAAGCAATAGAATACTTTTTAGGTCTTGGTGGTCCTCCTAACAGTCTAGTTAGATCAGCATGACACTTCAGTTAATTTCCTTCTCAGACTCACTTGAAGCTCTGATTTCAGATCAGGAAGAAGGTGGCTATCCCAGGAATTACATGCCTTCTGGCCAGAACTTGAATTAGAAAAAACATTCCCAGCCAAAAATTATTTCAACATTCTTGATGTGCAGTGCCTGCATGTTGGGTATAAAAAGGCTAATAGACCTGCTACACCTAAGAGCAGAGAGTACCTTCTAAATTTGTTGAGCACATCAAGAGTAATTTCATGATGCTGCTCAACATCCGTAAAGATTCTTGGTGAACTTTCTCCAGTTTAAAACTCACCCAGCTTGTGGCATCAGGAGGGCATCTAAGGACACCACATTATAGGACCAAATTTTTTGTTGGTACAAAAGTTACATTCCCTTATAGTCATTCACTTATGAACAGGAGGTTAAAAAAAAAAAACAAAAAAACACTCCAGTGCAATGTAATATAGAATTCATTTTTGAAAACAATTCATTTTAAGAAAAAGCCTTATGTATTAACTACAGTTTCCCAGTTCAAGACTGCTTTTACCCAAACACGAGTACAGAAGCTACCATTCTGTTCAGTCCTGATGGCTACACTTTTGTGGACATTACACACAGGACTGTATAAAATATTAATTGTAAAAGCACATCATCTTCCAGTACCTAGAACAGGGAAATTTGGAAAAATCGGCTTCACAGTACAGTATAAACTCCTTTGTTCACCTTAAATTTGATCCAGGAGAATTTGTGATCTACGTCACCCTTTTACATAAATGCAATTTGGTGACGAGGTACTCTTTGCCTGATGGGACATCATGCTTGGTGCCCCTGAGTATGCTTCCTCTTCAACTCTCAGGCTCCCACAACAGGCTTCTTACTTCTAACCTTAATGCAAGATAATGATAGGTATATGCCCCATATCTAATTCCCTATTATAAAATACATTTGCACAGGTGAAAATATTACTTGTACAAGAATGTAAATACTAAGATACTTTATATTCACTTTATAAGTCTTATTCTTACAGAATAATAACAGATTGTCCTTAAATTAGTCAGAATTTATGAAATAGAGCAATCAAAAGCTCTTCTGCTATAAGACTTTTTAATAGTAAACTCTAGATTGCAGACTCTCAAAAGTTTTAAAGAAACAGCAAAAATCTTGTCACACCTGATGGTTGTGGTTATTTCAATGGTTAAAATGGCCATTCTTCTAGGGCAAGTCTTAAGAAACTAACACTAGCATGACGCTTCATGTCTTAATTGAAAGGTCATTTTGCCTAGGTGAGTCCTACAAGAACAGGAACATTTGAGACCATTCTGTATTATCTGATCTGAATGCATTACTCTAAGAACTCATCTCACATTAGGCATAAAACTAGCACAAATCACTCAAATTGCTCTGTGACATATTCAGGACAGGAGGAAACAGCAGGGCCAGGGCTTCAGTATGCTTGCGGAGATTTCTGGCACAACAGCAAAGCAGCAAGTTGCATTAATGCTTTAAAGATGAAACCTCTCTCCTTGCACATGAGTAGGAAGGCTAAAGCTGATCTCTCCATACTGGAGCACAGCCACTAGGAAATGAACTGTTATGAGCCAGATGATCCCTCTCAGTCATATGCTTGCTTCGCAGGATTCATAAAACAAGATTATGTCATTTAAATAACTCTTATGCAACCAGGAATGTGTCCTAGAAGATAGAAAGCTTCATTTACTCATGACCAAATCCAGCATTTCAGCTTCACATGCATCTGTTCAGGAATAAACTGAAGAAAAGCTGAGTTTCTACATATAGAATTATCAATGTTATGAATATCTGTGATCTAAAATCACTCTGCTAATGGTAGAGAAAAATTAAAAGCAAAAGGCCGGCAGCATAAATTGTTTAGAAAAGCAGAGTGTTTTAAGTATTTGTTTGTTTGTCTTTTGTTAAATTCAGGAAAGTTTTCAACTGCAGTGTTGGCTCATCCTTGTGCACACATGAAGCAGCACTGGGTGCCGTTATGTCCTCCAAAGATGCGCTCGGAGAGCTGTTGCTGAGGAAAGCTTTCCCAAGTCTGGTACAGCCACAGCTTGCACTGAGCGGGTCACAACGTGCCAGCACGGATATGTACAAGAGCAGTCCCCAGCCCACACGGCGGCGCTCACAAAGCCTCACGCTCCCGACCCCCCTCAGGTTCTCTGGCCGCACACAGCGACTTCTCTGCAACGTCAGTCCTGCGTCTTTACCAATGAGTGTTTGGCAACCAGTGCAGCAGGCAGCAGCCAGACTCGGCCACCCTCAGCGCTAAGTCGAAGAGCTTCAGGTAAAAGGCACGGCTGAATTTTACGTCTGGATTTAGAACCAAACTTCCCCGCGGGTGCCCAGCCTGCCCAGCCTCAGGCAGCGGCGCCGGCTGTATTGTGCCGCGCCCCTCTCCAGCCCAGCTGCTCCC